AAAAAAGTGGATTTCGGTTTGAACTTTTCGAATTTTATTTTGTATATCATGTTTTAGTCAAATATTGAATTTGAGTAGTATGTGAGATAAATAATAGAATAACATAATATCTGAAAAATTGTTTACGGGATAAACTGAAATCAATATAAAATTTAACAAATAATTATAAATGTTTAAAAATTAATTTTAGTAGATTTATCACGTTTGATTTTTTTAGCCATATGTTTAACATACTAATTTTATTTACCGAAATCACTATTAAAAACATGAAAATAACAAATTTAATGGCTCGAGAAAATAGCAAAAACACATTTTCAAAATGTGAATGCGGTACACCATTCATCACCATTTGTTTTTTATTTGTTTTGGTTTTTCTTTGGGTTAGTTTGGATTCAGATTCAGTTTATCGAATATAGAAAATATTGTACATTTTAACCATATTAAGATATGATTAAGTTTTCTAAACTGGATTATTTAGGTTCGGATCGGATTGGATGGGATCCATTTATCCGGATTGAAAAATTCTTTACATAATCCATTTCTTTAAAACCTTGTCGTACCAAAATATTACTAATCATATTATGTAACAGATAGAAAGCCTAATTGTAACGGTAAAGGATCAGCATGCTTAGCCCCACGTTTCATAGGCGGTGACGGCATCGTCTTCTACTTTCATGGCAAACGCGATGAGCATTTTACACTCGTCTCTGACATTGACCTCCAACTCAACGCACGTTTCATTGGTCTCAGACCTTCGGGCCGAAGCAGAGACTTCACATGGATTCAATCTTTGGGTCTAATCTTCAGCCCCAACAACAAAACCTTCTCACTCAAGGCCACAAAAGCTGCGAAATGGGACCACCGAGTGGACCATCTCCATCTTTCCTTCGAGGGAAAAGAGATCTTTTTACCGAAAGGAGATACATCAGTGTTGAGCAGGAAGTTACACAAAGATTGAGAGAACTTCAAACATAAACTCCGTGTTGGTCACTTTACGAAACATTGCCGAGATTTGGGTTAACATGGTTCCTGTTACAAAGAAAGACGACATGATAAATTAGTACAAGATACCTGAAAATGACTGTTTTTGTAACGACCCGGTTTTCCAAACCAGACCCGTTTGGAAAATTCAATCCCGGACTAAGACGGTTTAAGCCCAATTCTCATTATTCGATATTCCCTTTTTTTCGAGAGATAATTAATTCCTGGTTTAAATAAATATTACACTTTTTATGTGATATTAATGAACCTTTTGGTAAAAGAATTGTGAATATTCTTATTCATAATTATCATTTCCTTTTTTATGGTTATCTTTACTTTTTACCCAAATCTCCCATTGAGTATAAATAGATAGCCCTTCCCATTCTTTTTCTTCATTCTAAACTTTCTAGAGAACTGAGAAACCCTAGAACTCTCTTCTATCTCTTTCCGGCGCCGAAGTACTCTCTCTCCACTGTTTCTCTCTCCTCTTTCTTTCTCTCTCTTCACTGTTTCCCTTTTCTCTCATCACCATGTCTCGCCGTTCATCATCACCGCCCTTCGACGATCGCTCCAGCCGCTTCCCGAAGCCATATACGTCATCCGCCGCCGCCGTGGAGGAGCCGCGTGTCCACCACCTTCGGGATGGACCCGTAGCCGCTACGTCCAGCTGCCCCACCACGGTGTTTCACGTCGACGACGAGCTGGAGTCTTCCCGGAGTCACGCGCCGCCGCAGCATCACCCCCGGAGATCGATTAACCCGGCGTGGTTAACCGCCGTGGAGCATCTCGTCTCCTTCTCTTCTCCTTACCTCCCCTCGCCACCTCCCTCGCCAGCTCTTTCGCCACCTAGGCCAAGGTGAGGAGTAATCTAAATTACTCACCCCTCCATTCCTCTATCTTCTCTCTCTCGATCCCCTCTAGCAGGTTAGGTGAGTCAGGATGCTTCAGTATCGCATGTGGTGTGGAGTTGTTTGTTAAGCAAGGCGCCATCGGCTTCTGGGACTTGTAAAAAGGATAACTTGACATCTTGACATCACCGGTTCGGTTTATATTATCGGAATCGGGTGTCACAAGTTTGGTATCAGAGCCAAGGTTAAGACTCTTCGGTTCTGTTCCGAAGGGTCAGTCCTAAAAAGTTTGTGTTGCGAATCCTATGTGCGCACTTAGCTTGCTTTACAACTGTTTCATGACTAACACCTATGCATACTTGAAATCTGACTCTTAGCTTTTTCTTTTCCGTGCCAAACAGGGCTCATACCCGCGAGCCAGCCCGGAAACAAACCATTCCGATCCACATGGTTCCTGCTAGACTTGCTCGTCCCACTCGGAAGATGCCAACCCGGGAGGAGGTGAACGCATGTGCTGCGCTGGCGACAGACGTGCTCAGAGCTGTACAAGCTCGGGGCTCGTGTCGATCCTCTTCTGGTAGAGTGATGGCCCAACAATCCCAGCCAACACGTAAGCGCGGACGCCCCCGCAAGAGCCCCGTGCCAAACGCTAGGCCGAATGTTCAGCCGTCGTTCCCTCGGTTAAGCCAGGGAGCACGTTCCGTAGGGCAGTACCGCATGGCTTACCTCCATGAGATGGAAGTGAATAGGCAGGTCACTTGTTGTGATCTTCACCTAGCCATAGCCTTCCGAGAAGGGTTGAGACCGGAAATTCGAGGGAGTATACCACACCCCGAGGAGGGCGGACTCATCGAGTTGACCGGCCAAGTCATTCACATGGCTCAGCTGATCGAGCAGAAAATCGAGGATGAACGGAGGCAGGAAGATGAGGGAGACTATGAGCAGATCCGTCCAAATGCGAGGTCCCCGGCGACAATGACTCCGACCCGAGACGTGGCTAAGAGCTTGAAGACTATCTAGATTAGGGCTGCGCTTTGGGTTTGGAGGGGGAATTCTTCATTTTAGAAATTAAGTTTTAGTTTTATTTATTTTTATGCATTACATTAAGAGCCCTATTCTATGTTGATTGATTGCTTGATTTATTTAATAAAAAGTTGCTTGCTTAGAAATGATTGTTTCCTGAGTTTCCCTACCTATGAACATTTCGATTTAGCCTTCTTTGGTATGACTTCCAAGTCTTCCTTATCACCTTAGGCCGGCCGTGGAGATTCATACCTTAGAATTCGAGATGAATTCTCGTTAAGAAAGAGAGAATTGTAACGACCCGGTTTTTCAAACCAGGCCCGTTTGGAAAATTCAATCTCGGACTAAGACGGTTTAAGCCCAATTCTCATTTCTCGATATTTCTTTTTTTCTTTCGAGAGATAATTAATTCCTGGTTTAGAAAAATATTATATTTTTAATATGATATTAATTAACCTTTTCTAAAAAAATTGTGAATATTCTTATTCATAATTATCCTTTTTTTTTCGTGGTTATCTTTACTTTTTACCCAAGTCTCCCATTGGGTATAAATAGAGAGCCCTTCCCATTTTTTTTCTTCATTCTAAACTTTCCAGAGAACTGAGAAACCCTAGAACTCTCTTCTCTCTCTTTCCGGTGCCAAAGTACTCTCTCTCCACCATTTCCCTCTCCTATTTCTTTCTCTCTCTTCACTATTTCCCTTCTCTCTCCTCACCATGTCTCGCTGTTCATCATCGCCGCCCTCCGACGATCGCTCCAGCCGCTTCCCGGAGCCACTTACGTCATCCACTGCCACCGTGGAGGAGCCGCGAGTCCACCACCTTTGGGATGGACTCGTAGTCGCTCCGTCCAGCTGCCCCACCCCGGTGTTTCACGTCGACGACGAGCTGGAGTCTTCCCGGAGTCACGTACCGCCGCAGCATCACCCCCAGAGATCGATTAAACCGGCGTGGTTAGCCGCCGTGGAGCATCTCGCCTCCTTCTCTTCTCCTTACCTCTCCTCGCCACCTCCTTCGCCACCTAGGCCAAGGTGAGGATGAATCTGTGCTTGAATATTGTGAACCCTGCTTCTCTGAATGTCTAGTTTGAGGTTAAACCAAGCATAACCTACTTTGTGCTTTAGAACTGAGTCCCAACTAGGTCTTGTTAGGTTGTTAATTGCTCTGTGAATCGCCTAGATGTGTTTAGGGTTTTGAAACTGAAGTTGCAGGAGACTTAAAATGAATCTTTACTTGTGTTTGAAATGACTTGCTTGTTTGATTGTTGTTTTGGATCTCTTCTGTGATTGTGTGATCGCGTAGAACTTGTAAAGAGGATAGGAACTTAATACAGTATTGCGTGAAATCATTATTGAGACTATGTGTTGTGAAATGTCTGAGATGAGAGTTGAGATCATAAGGCAAAGGAGCCGTGGTCGATATACTTGAGTGGAGGACCATTGTTTGGGGTTCGAGATGGATGGTTGAGATTTGCAATGCTTGGGGCTGCAATCGATACACTGGAATTGAGGATAGTCGTTGAGCCACGTGGGCAATATGCGATGGGGTACTGAGGGACCTGACATCACATGGGGTTGTTCAAAAGGGTTCAGCGTATACCCATGTGGTATGATAGGAATGGCTATACGTAGCACTCTCAAGGCATGGCCGACGGGCTAGTCGTGTAGCGACTATAAATTTACGGAGGTTGCATCCCAAGTGCCACGGTGGAAGTCATCATTGTATGGTCCAGGTATTTGTAGTGGCGTTATCTGTGACGTTAGGTTATTGTGTGAAGTCTGTAGGACTTTCTATGGTGCTGTTTTAGGCTTGAACTTAGCGTTTGTTAAGTTGTGGTGCATTGATAGGATAGTATAGGTTCATTCTCCTAGGTAATCTAAATTACTCACCCCTCCATTCCCCTATCTTCTCTCTCTCGATCCCCTCTAGCAGGTTAGGTGAGTTAGGATGCTTCAGTATCGCATGTGATGTGGAGTTGTTTGTTAAGCAAGGCGCCTTTGGATTTTGGGACTTGTAAAAAAGATAACGCGTTTGGCTTATAGCGCAAACGGTTATCTTAACATCGCCGGTTCGATTTATATTATCGGAATCGGGTGTCACAGTTTTGCTCATCTTGAAGTTCAATTCCGGTACTTGAGTTTGTCCCCAAATGTTGAGGGTGTTTTAGGGAGAACGTACATATAGGATTTTCAAAATCCAGCGAAACCAGGTGTGGCTATGCCGGTCGTTGGTGGGGAAGATAGATACAGATCGATGTCGCTTCTTGAAACAAGTTGTAATACTTGTGTTTACTCTGGTGGCTCTCTAAGTCTCGACAAGATCGAGCCGTTGTTGCTGAATCAAAACACTGTTGATTGCACCGGAGAATCGAGCAGTGGTGTTGGAATCTTTTGCAGAAAATATGTACACTGTTTAATTATTTATTTAAAATAATAATCGAAGGTTTATATCGGTGGTGTTTATGATAGTTGAAGATGCTGTTGTGCATTTCAAATGAATAGTATTTGTTATTTGTTTTAATATGAAAATAATAAAATGTTGATATAACCACTGGTTGTTTTGTATATACATTACGTGACATTGGAGTTAGGATTTTTGTATTACTTTAGATACTTGTTAAGTTGTTAATAGCGTTAATTAATGTGAGAGTTATAAAAATGATTTAAAAATTAAAATCAATTGCAAATGTAACCTATAAAATTCTTCCTTTCAACACAACTGCTTTTTTGTTTACACAATTCTTCTTAGTTTTAATTATTCAAGAAATTATTATTATTTTAAATTAATTTCTTTTATTTTCGGATATCCAATTGACTAAATAATTTTCATCTTTCTTATTTATTTACAAAAATATCATTGTCTTCAATTCACCCAACCACCAATTTCAACCAATTCCAAGCTATTACAGTCTGCAAACTAACTCCTACAGCCTGCGAAAATTCATCACCATGCAGTCTGCCAATTATTTTCTGCTACCTGCTTACAACACAGACGATTGATGAAACGGGTTGCAAGCTGCATGTTGCACGCTGCGTGTTGCAAGCTGCATGTTGCACGACTGCATGTTGCACACTATATATTGAATGTTGCACAGTTCAGATTCAAGACATATCAACAATAATATCCTTAATATTATTTGACAAGCAGATTTAATGAAAACAACCGGATATGTCGCAACCAGAAGAAAATTTAGTGTAAATTAATGATGATTTAGAAATGTGACATGACAAATTTTATAAAATAAATGAAATATTTTGATTGGTTAAGTTAAAACTAAATAAATCTTATTTTTAAATATGAGAAAAAAATTATAGTATATGTGAATATACTCTATTATATAGCAAAAATTCAAAATTATAAATGAAACAAAAAATAAACAGATAGAAAAAGAAATTATAAGTTTTCTCTTAGCAAATATTTTTATAATATTTTATATATGAATAAGAAATAGAATTAAAAATAAAAATGAATCTTTACGACTTTAATTTTTTGCAAAAATCTCATGCTATATTTTTGGTTTAAAGCATCTCCAACGCAATTTCATTTTTAATCTTTTTAGAGAAAAAATAAAAATATTATTTTTTCCTCTATAATTAGTTTAAAAAATATCAATCTTTTTTTCTGTAAAAAAAGAAATAGGTTGGAAAGAAATCCACCTATATTTTAGAGGAAAAAAATAGAAAAACACATTGAAGATGATCTTCATATTTAATATATTATTCAAAAATTTTAAAAAAAAAACTATGAGTCAAGAAGACAAAAAAATAAAGAAAATTAATTTTGATTGATTTTATGTTTTTATTTAAAATATGTAGAAATATTATCTTATACATATTAATTTTTTCATGCATATATGTTTTCTAACATATTTAAATATTATATTATTTCATGAATAAAATTTTGTATATGTTGTGATCTATTATCTATTCTAATAAAGTAAAAATATTTTCAGGACAACTTTGAAACGTTGCTATATGGCACTTCAGACACTGATATTTGTCATCTATATTTTTTATTTAAAAAGCATAAAAATTAAAGAATTAATATGTGTCTTTTACAATTATATACTACAATAATAAAGATAATTAAATACAGCCTACAAAACAACAAAAACAACAATAGAGATTTTGCAATAATAATATAATATATAAAGTAGATCTTGGACTCACATCATGCGTCGGTTTTCTTTCAACAAATATTTGTTTGGGCCTTCGGAATTTCTTGGACAACAGATTATATGAAAAATGTGGCCCAAACAGACCCAAAATATTTATCAATCTAACCTCGATCAATTTGGTTTATCCAATTAAATATTTTTTTGTCATCATTTTAAACATGTTTTGGGCCATTTGAAATTAAAACGAAAGAAAAATAATGTTAATGACACAGCCCAAATGAATATGTGACACTCTGTAGATAACGAAAAGATAAAAAAATACATTGTCTGAATTTGGGAAAGTTTAACTCAAGAGAAAAACTTAAATATCGATTAGAACACAAATCAATCTCATTTTCCTTTCCTATAATGACCTTCATGAACCTAGATCACCGATTCTTAGTTATCTGAAGAAGTTTTGAACTCCGCATGAATTACATGAGTGATTTGAGAGAATTGTGAAGTTGCATTGCGAAGAGTCAGCGATTTGGGGAAAATTTTTGTAATTTCGTAAGTTGTAGTAGAGTTCTTCTGTATTAGTTTTACTCATTTCAGCTATTGAGCGGATTACACAATTATGAAACCCGTCTATGTTTTAATTTTTAAAAGAATGACAATTACTTCGATCCAATCTGACCTAAATTTTTTCCTATGAATCAGATAATTAATTTCATGGAATTAAGCAGCTATGATATGACTAATCAGGTAATATGAGAGTATGTTTTCCTCTTGCAACTACAAACTTTGTTCATCTTTACGTTTCTGAAAATGCATAGAATTAATTGACTTTTTCTTTTCATCTTAATATGACAATGAGGATATTTGATTGAGAAACCACAAGATCTGATATTAAACGACTACATATATAAAAGATAAGTTTTTTTCATAATTGATAAGGAAGAAATACTAATCTGATTACGTAATTTTCTTCAGTATCTGATTTTCATAACATGTCATTTTTTATTTTACAGTATAATATCTCCGGCGAAAGAAGATATTAGTTCAATATGAAAACGATAAAATAATACGCTTCCGTCATGTAATATATACGTAAGTTAAACTTTTCTTCTAAAACTGTTTTTTCCATAAATTTATTTCTGGCTGTTAAACTAATGTATTTCTCTTTAACTGTTAAACAAATGTAATCTCAGTTAGAATTACAGTTTCAAAAACTTAGAAGAGAATATTAGCAGAATAAGGCTAATGCAAGTAGATCAGCTTCTTCTCATTAACATTAAGGTAATAATTAAGTAAATATAATACTGTTGGGACCAATGTTACCGACCCCCAAGGGTGACGCGACACATGGACATCGGCCTGCCCTAGACACTGACATACGCCTTCCTAGCTCAGCCAAACTACTCCCGCATAATGTTTCCTGGCAGTTGGCACACTTTCCCGAATACGCATGAATCATTAGCCCACCAACAAATGAAGAGGACAGGACTGGGAGAAAGCCAATATAAAGGAGAGAGATCACCACATAAAAGAGGAAGCGGTTCGGCGAACCTGATCTGAAGAACAGGACCATCCCGAACCGACTTGCACCGCCGAACAGCATGACGAGAGAGAACCCTCCCGTTCCCTCGAGATAATGCCTACCAGGATAAGTCCCTCGTGACTCAGAACTCCGCCTTTATACTTGCCAAATCATCCTCTATCAGTATAGAACCCCCCTCAAAACACTCGTAAACAGATAGATGTCTCGATCCCAGGACGAGACCTCTCACCCAAGCCCTTAGAAACACCCTCCTGAGTACTTGTTCCTGGTAGGGCGTTCATTGACTTGGGCGTCGGAGAACCTTCGGGAGGAAAACCCCCTTTCGGTCTTCCTAGAGGCCCAATTGACCTTTTGTGTAGTGGTTGCAGGATCGGAGGCCCGATTAGCTTTTCTGCTGAGGCGTCTTGCTGCTCATCTATCTTGTGGGACCGTCCCTTCTATTAGGCACGCTTTGATTCTCCCTTGCCAAAGGTGTTTTTCTTGCTCGACGTCAACCTCCATTGGGTCATCGGCTTTGTTTTCTTGATATAAAGCCATGTTGCATATTCCTTTGGATAGTTGGATACTTGGTTGTTCAATGATCTATACTGAGATCATCCGGCGGAGTGCTGAATTTGTAGAGGATGCGAGTGCTGCCAATGTATTGGTGGCGATGTTCTCAGCCCATGGTATCTTTGTGAGTTCGAACAAATAGAATTACTTGGTTATTTCTTGGACTTGCTTTAAATAAGTATCCATTTGTATTTTTTTTAGCATTTGTAATCTTCATTGAATTGACTGGCGACGAGTTGAAAATCGCAGAAAGCATGAACATTCTTTGCTCCAATTTCTTTTGCGAGGCGAACCGCGATGATCAATGATTCATATTCGGCTTCATTATTTGAAACTATGAAATCGAGCTTGAATGATTGCTCGAGAACTTTCCCTATTGGTGACCCCAACCGGATGCCGAGTCCATAACTTTCCTTGGATGAGGCTCCGTCGACATACAAGCTCCACTTCTTCTCGATGGGTGTTTCGTCAACTAATAGGTCTGGAGGTATTTCGATCATAAAGTCAGCTAAAACCTGAGACTTGGCGCTAGTTCGAGCTCGATATTCGATGTTGTACCCGGATAATTCTATTGCCCATTTGGCCATTCGGCCGAATTGACTTGGACTGCGCAAGATCCTCCGAAGTGGTTGGCTGGTGAAGATGACAATAACATGGGACTGGAAGTAGGCCCATAATTTTCGTGCTGAGATAATCACCGTGTAGGCTATTTTTCTAAGGCGGGATACCGAGCTTCAGCTCCATCTAGAGTTTTGCTTACATAGAAGATGAGTTTTTGCTCGCCACAGTCTTCTCGTACTAGGACTCCACTTACAGCTGTTGTTGATACCGCGATGTAAAGGTATAATGTTTTCATTGTTTTCAGGTTTTGCTAAGATCGGCGGGGTGGTGAGATATTCCTTTAGCTGCGTGAAGGCTTCTTAACATTTTTCGTCCCAATCGAATCGTTTGTTACTCCGAAGTAACTAATAAAAAGGCAACATTTATCCGTAGATCGCGAGATAAACCTATCTAGCGTGGCAATCCTGCCGGTTAATCGCTGCATTTTGCGGGTATTCTTAGGTGAGGGAAGATCCAGTACTGCCAAGATCTGTTTCGGGTTGCTTATATTCCTCTCTAGGTGACGACATAACCTAGAATATTCTCCAGAAATTACGCCGAAAGTGCACTTAGCCGGATTGAGCTTCATTCCAT